TGGAATCAGAACAGCCTCTCCCTCTGCAGATCCTGTTAATACTTCAGCTTCGATAATGTTAGGTCGTAATCTTTTGATAATAAATCTGGTACCATTACAAAGACCCCATTTACTATTGAGATTTCTCAATAGCATGATGATTGCACCCACTTTCAATTTTAATTTATGACACGGCATTCCCGAAGGAGTAATACTATTAAGAAATTTGATGAGAAAATTTTCCTTGTCAGCATCATCTGTGGAATCAATGGAATCATCACTCAAATATGTGTGAAAATCTCCATCGAGTATATCCAAATTTTCTTCATTTAATTTTTGAACATGCTCATTTTTTGGACAAAGAATTGCACGTTTAGATATATTTTTAATATTATCTATAGCAGTGGTTCTCAACCTTGGCTGCACATTAGAATCACCTGGGAATCTTTTTAAAATCCTGATTCCTGGGCCTCATCCTCCAAAAATTGTTTCTATGTTATGGGGTGGGGCCACAACATTAGTAACAAAGAAACAGAATTTAAACTTCATTGTGGGGAGACGCTACAGTGTTTTGGACAGGTTCAAGCCTTGGACTGACTAATTGCCAAGTGCAAGTCCCAGCTTGGAGGGCAGGGCCCTCCCAGCACAATTATAGCCAATAGCTGTAGTTGTAAGCTTGAACCTATGGTCTGAACACGTGGCCCCACGTGCCTGAGTGATGTAGGCTTGATAGAGTTCAGGTGCATGTAGTTGAGTAGGATTGAAACCCAGGAGAATGTTGTAAACATCTTGGTCACACCCTTACTTTGCCTAGTAGCATCTGCTATAAAATAAAGGCATGGCTGTGAGCATGGTTGCTGTCTCTCAGAGAAGCAGCGTCTCACTGAGACCCGGCTTTCATTCTCTTGTCTGTCTTTTCTAAGCCTTTCAGCCGCTTCCACTCAGGTTCACCCCTGGCCATGCTGGCGCGCGGCACACTTTAGAAAGATCTGCCTCCATGCTCCGAGGGCGGGATCCTGCCTCAAACCCCGCCCTTACAGGAAACAGCTTGGGGGAGGGCGCAGCCATTGCCAAGACAACCCCTGCAGGACTGACTTCCTTCCACTTGGTCACAGCGGTTCTTCTGGATGTGATGAACACCGCCCATGGTTTTTATATAAGTAGATTCTTTTAGGACATCAATATATAACATACTTATGTAGATATACTAAGTGCATATTTTTTACAAGAACATCCCATTCTATTATCTAAATTTATTATCCACTAGAGGTCCAGGGCATGAAATTCATGCATGGGAAGGGGGGGGCAGCCTATACCATCTCCAATTCAGGACCCCTCGGGACCCTGGAGATTGGGCCTAAACCAGCAGTCGGACATCCTTCTCACAATCCTGGATGCTGGTTCCTAATCGCTCACCTGCCTGCCTGGTCACCCCTAAATGCCCCCCTGCCAGCCTGATTGCTCCTCACTATCTCTGCATGGCAGCCTGGTAGCTCCTAACTCCCCCCTCCCCGTGCTGACCTGGTCTCTTCTTACTGCACCCCTGCCGTCCTGGTCACCCCCAACTACCCCACTCTGCTGGCCTGTTTGCCCCCAACTGCCTTCCCCTGCCGGCCTGGTTGCCCCATGCAGCCTGCTGTCCAGTTGTTTGGTCATCCCTCACTAACCCCCCTGCCAGCCTGGTCATAGGCAGCCATCTAGTGAGGATGTGAGGGTTAATTTGCATACTACCTCTTTATTATATAAGATTGTACAGATGTATATACATCAGAATTTCTGTCTTCCTACATTTTTGCTCTATGAAATATATGTCACTAAGGTATATATACATAAGTACACAACAAAGCTGGTTTAAATTATTCTTAAATCTAAATTTTAAGTTACAAATTTTCTCTCATCTAATAAGAAGTATAATGCATTAAATTACTTGATGAAGAATATAGGGAAAGGCAAAATATAATTGACTTGGGAGCAGAATAGTTATTTTGGAAATGATGAGTAAAAATTTATGTTTTGGTTAAAACCAGGAATAAATGAAATCTTAAAATTTTTCACATTTTAATTGTAAATCATTATGAATGTATACATGTCTATAATATATTCTTTTCACCTGATCTTGTGGAAATACTAGAAGCCCGGTGCACAAATTCGTGCACGGGTGGGGTACATTCGGCCCATCCCAATGGGGACCAATCAGGGATGGGGCCAGACGGGGTGTCTAATGCTGGTAGCTATAGCTTTTCTCCAGCTGGATCTAATTATACTTTAAGGATGGTCAAAAGAAAACCCACAACAGAACTGTTTTGCATTTCACAAGCCATGAGATGAAGTTATGTGTTGTTTGCAAATGTATATCAAGATGGATGATGACCCTTTAATGATTTTTATGTTCTTCCTGGGGCACTACCCTTAGCTTCCCAATATGATCTTCATGTCTGTTTGTTTAAAAGTTTTTCTGTTTTTGAATTTGCCTACCCTTCGCTGTTGCTCCTGGTAGCCTGTGGGTCCTCTTAGCCGCCCCATTTAAAGAGAGATTGAAAGCTCATCTAATTTGCAAGGCACCACAATTTCACAAAATCCCCATCCAGCCTCTCTATACTCCTCAGCAAAGGGCCGCCATCCCGTTAATGCTTAGGTTGCCTTTTTGGCTAACTTGGAAGGTATCCTGGGGCTGTGGGACATGGAGGGAGAATTCCACACCTTGGCTGCAGTATTAGCAGAGCCCTCTGGAGACTCTGATCAGGGTCTAAAGGGA